AAGTTTGGAAACTCACGGTTTTTCTTTTTTCTTGTGTGATTTTGATCAGAAAATATTGCTAAAAGATTAAGAACTAAGAATCTGACCGAGTATTTGATTATCTTTTGATAGTGAGCCCTAATCAAGAACAAAACTAGAAGATGACTGTGTGAAAGAACTGTACAACTATAAATCAATATTTGTCTTATAACCTACGGTATACGTCAAGATTACCACTGTAGATTTGTTGCCGTTTTCATATACTGTAAGATGGTTTGTAGTAGGACTGTCATGTTTTATTCGAAATTAGAACATTTATTTGAGCGTGGTTAATTTTCAAAGTGTAATGACATGACTGAATTCAAAATTGACTGTTTAAAGATAAACGCAACAGACTATTTGAAATAGCTTGCCTTGTTATCCAGCAGAGGGCGCTCCAATATTGGCTTGACCTATAAGTAAACTAAGCTAACTATCTGTAAACTAAGCTAGTTATGTTATGTTGTATGCTACGAACAAAGCATCTGAGAAGCAACGTGCTTCTTGTAAAAAACAGCTGTTGAACTCTACAGCAACAACATATCTGTGGACTTGCTCGCTAACGTTAGCTGGAGGCGTACAACCTCGTCAGACAGCTGCTATTCGGTACCCTTAGCTTTAGTGCTCGTAAAAATGTCATCAACCGAAAAGATTTACGTGTAAGGATATGCGGAATTGGTGGGGTAAGAGTGAATGTCTTATACTTTAATCTTTAAGCTATGGGTTCCTATATGGTGACATACAGTTGTAATATGTGTTCAAATAAATTCAAACCAATTGTGTGTCATAACATCTTAACAGAAACCCTGAGATATTAGACACCATAAAGCTTGTGATATTGCTTAATTATGCTTCTGCAAGCGCATGATCGGTACCCTAATCATTCAGGCCACACATCCTCAGAAATGAACACCAGTAAAAGTATGCAGGCAAGCATGTGAACAACGCATCATAGCAGCTTGTCCTTACACAGTAAAAAGCAAATATATCAGAGCTTATAGGCGATCTGTAGTTAAAACGATAAACAGTTAAACCTCACCCATCAAGCACAACCACAGTCCCCTCAGAGGCATTACAAACCCGGCCAGCACTAATGGTACAGACACTTAAGCCCACTGTACTAATGAGTCTTGTCTTGAACAGAGCTGTTTTATTGTTTTCCCCTTTGTGTTCCTCAGTCATTAGCATTTCAGCCTGGAGCCATTTATTTGTCCCTCACCCCCTTCCTCCCTCCATATTCCCCCCTCACACCCTGTAACAGAAACAGAGATCTACAAATAGAAAGCACTAACCCACTTCAGTGACCTAGAAGCTAAAGCATGCTCGCTAGCTGTTTGATCTTTGGCCCTAAATGCATTTTGTCTTTACCGTCTCTCACAGCAGAGGTCAAGTGATGGAGTAATGCTCTCTGTTTGGTCTTTAAACACCACGCACCCTCCATATTCCCAAGTCCATCAGAGCAGCCTGATGGAGTCCTGATGGAGTCCGGACCTCTGACCTCAAAGCTAAATGCAATCTGACCTCAAAGCTAATCAGAGGATGCGTGACCCGAAAGGGTTTCAAGGACACGCAAAGGACAGACGAATCCTCAATGTTGAAGTCTGTGTGGTTTTGGTGTCCCAACCATCCGTCTGTCCAGCACACAAAATCTCACCTAGAGTGCTAACTAATGATACATTTCATGAAGCACTTATAACTGATTTGTTAATAGATACTGAAATAGTTAATGGAAATAGTCATTACTTTCAGGCCTTTATTAGATCAAGTCAACTACTAAAACTGATTTATTTTCTGTTCAAATCGATTAATTGTGTTATTGTTCTTACAATAATCTCAACAACCACAGGCTAGATTTAGATTGCTAGAACCTCCCCTGACCTTTCTATTAGTGCCATCATCAAGCTTAAATGTCCGTTTCACCAACAATTTGATGCATGATAGTTTGTCTTCAGTACTAATGACCTAATTGCAATGAAAGCTGTTCCAGACATTTATGGACTCCAGAGGGTGATTTAGTTGAAGGCCTGACCTTTGGGTCATTTTCACTTTAAAACCAGAAATATAACAATCTTAAAGGCCATGGAATTTCCTGAAGACATTCCTGCTCCCCAGAGGATAAAGCCTTTTGATTTTAATGCCCCCATAACGCTTCCTCCAGCTCCACCACTGGGACAAATTTTTCCATTTTAGCTTGACTACTGCTCAGCTTTTAAGAATCGCTAAAGTACAAGTGTGCAGTTCATTCACTTCAACACTGCAGCCTCTTGGGGCCGAGGTTTCAGACCGTCGGTCATGTTTTTAATCCGTCCAGCCGACTGTGTTGGTTGCCAACTGCGGGCATCCAGCCACAAAAAGGGCTTTACAGAAACAAAACGTGCCAGAGGACAGCCCTCCAAACAAACACACCAAGGCCCAGACAGAACTGCTGTGTGAAGACAAACAAATATGCAGTTGTCAATCAATGCCTCAGTTTGTCTGCTTGGCAACGTTTTCACATAAAGGGATCATCTGTCTCCAAAAAATACACATCAACACCGCAAGACTCCCACTCCTATTACAACGTCAGACAGTTATGGAGTATGTTTCCTGTAGTTGTAGTTTATGAATGAAGCTTCAGATGTTTGAACATTTCTCACATAAACTATTAAAAAAAAGCCTTGCATTTTACATGAGAATGTGTTCATTAAACGACATCCTTCAAGAAACCACTGCATAACAACAGACGGTGCTTATCAGTTGAGATTCTTTCATCTACTGTATGACATCTCGACTATGCTAGTCTATTAGTATTCGTCCAAGCTCTAGAGTGTCACTTATAAACACTTCCGTTAACGGTGAAGATCTAAAATAGCTTTTTAAAGCATGAAAACATCACTCATCACATGAAACAAAGTACTGTTGCATTAAAGTCTACAATGAAAAAATAAGAGTAAGATGAAATATGGTCAAGAAAGAGTTTGGTTTGGTTTGGTTGAAGGTTTAAGAAAAAGTATTTGCGGTGTACCTCAAGGGTCAAGTCTGGGTACTATCTCTTTTTATAATAAGTGTTGGTAATACAGCTTTTAATTTCTACACTGACGATATGCAATTATATCTTCCTGTCAATCATTGCGATGCTCATTTTTTAAATTTAATGATAGATGAATAAAGATGAAGAGACTTTGTTATATTTTGTGTAAATGTAGTATCGAATCACATCGTGAAACCTGTATCTGTAAGTTAAAGTCTTAGATAGAACAGGTGCAGTGAAGTCCTGGAATATCAGCAAATCCAGGTCATCTCTCTCTGCCTGGTGTCCTCATTCGAGGCCTACTTCGTCTCCACACAAAGCTATTTAAACACTGTAAATACTTGATGTAGAACACAGTGTTTCAGCATCTCTCTGCAAGGATCCTTGTATCCTGATTTCTCCTCCTTCTGAGGGTGAGGGAGGGGCTCATGGGAAAGGGGTTATTTGAGGCTGAATGCTAAAACTGACTCAAACATGCATTACTCTCCCCCCACCCTCTCTCCGGGGTGGATGAGGGGGTTGGGGGGTGTTTGCTGACTCAACATTTCTGGAGGCTCTCCAGGCCTGAAACCCAGCAAGCACAAAACTGGGATGACAATATGGCATATGCAAGAATAAAATACTAATTATCATTCAATGTACTCGCATTCTCAATCAAATACTGATTTAAATAACTATTCCAAAGCTTAGTTTATTTACTTCAAATCACTTATGAAATGGTATAGATTTTAATGTGGTCTTTAAACCTTCCTTGAAGCCCCTCTAGCCTCTGGACACAACACTTGCTATAATTCTGATTATTATTTGACTAATCAATATTTTAGTGATACCTGAGTGTGCAAAATTATTTAAAATGCCCCTGACAACTTTCCAAAGCCCAAGGCGCCATCTTAAGACGTTTATTTTTTCTTACTAACAGTCCAAAAGTCAAAGATATCCAGTTTACAATTACATGAAACTGAGAGATGGAGCAAATCTTCATATTTAAGAAGCTGGGACCATTTTTTGCTTAATAACTGAATAAAATTACAGTTCTGCAATGGTGTAATTTAACAAAACAAAAACACTTTGTTACAGCACTTACGTATTTTTTGTGTATCTGTATTTTACTTTTGTTTTTACATTTCAGTCAATTTTCACTTTTACTCTACTACATTTCCAAATGTATACTTTGACTCTGATATATTTCCAGTAAGCATCTTTGTTATCAGCAAGTCAGATCATTGGTTTATTATGTTACTGGGTGATTATAAACAAGTAATATGAAAGCTGCAGTTAAGTTTTGATTTCCACTCAAACCCAGGCATGTGAGATGCTAGCAACAACACCAGTCTCTCTGAGCCACTAGTACAGTAGACTTCATTTAACATTAAGATGGACAGTCATTGTTTTCTTTATTTTTAGGTACTTCATCCACTGAAGCATTTTTTGTGTTAAAGATAAAACAAGGTATTAAGATGCTCTTTAAGTTGATTACGAGATAATGAGCTAAAAGATGTGAATACGTTGGTATGTTTCTTTTGATGTAAGTTTTATGTATGTATGCATTTTTCACATGGTCTGATATGAATATATATGACGGTGTGTTTTGATATGTGACGGCTTGTTGTTGATCACTAGGTTGTGGCGTCGTTTACTAATAACCAGAGAGAAACTGGATAGCTCTGGTGAGAAGCTGTGTGTGTGTGCTAAGAGTGCTGGTATGCTTTCTTTCCTAATATCAGCTGGAAACGTGATAGGGTGAGTGTTCCAGTGTGTGTTTGAACAAAGACTCTGTATCAAAAAATCTCAAGGTGTGTACAGAAATCTCAGAACAAGAAATGCTGAATGTGTTTTTCCTGCACACATTCTTTCCTTTAACCCTTTACTGAATCGACAGCTCTGAGTCAAATTCTCAAAAGCGTGACCTTTGACCCCGTGAACTACGGAGAAATCCTTAAGCTCCACTGTTGAGTAACAAACTGGTTCTTACCTGCAGTCCCCTGCGCCTCAAAATACTGGAGTCATCCATGATTCTGTGAGATCAGGTATCTTTTTGGTCTTCTTTTTTTTTTTTTACACAAAGCTACAAAGTTCAGGCACTTTCCAGGAAGTCTGTCCACACGGAGGAAGTTACATTATAGTCTCCTTGCTCCTCCTTTCATTGTCCATCAACTGCCAACAAATTGCCATGCCAACAGAGATTGAGTTGCCAAGTAAGTCTACCAATATTTAAGAGACTGTCCTTTTTTCAAAACTCTGTTCATTTTCCAGGTCTGTAAAAAGTTCTGCAAGCCTCCCTTTTCTTTAGACGCTCTAGTTGAGCAGATGAGGTTCACTTCAGAAGAGAATTGGTGTCAAAATGAGTGACAGTTCCTAATTAAAGTGGATAAAACACACTGAAACTCAAGACTTCACTGATATTCCATTTGGCAATCTCTGAATCATTCCAACAAATGTTCATAAAGACACGGTAGAGAAGATAATTCAAAGGGAAAAGTGGTGCCGTCTTCTGATTTTGGCTCCGTCACTCCTCTATTTTTCCTTCCTTTATGTCTTTTGTTTATTCCAGCTGGTTGTAGAGGAAGGTGCGGCCTGTATGCAAACGACTGAGGACCTTCCTCTCCTCTCTCTCAGTCAGAGCACGTGTCGTTTCTGAGCTCGGCCTCCGTCGGCCGCTCTTCCATTCATCCGTTCAGCACTGGACACACCCCTCCACCGCTCTCTAATACAGAGGTAGAGACTGTACACTCTCCTTCTTTCTGTTGTCTAACCCTCCGTTCTCTTGTCCCCTCCTTCTACGTATGCCTCCCACCCTTAAGGCACTAGTCCAGAGGAGACTCCGCGGCCTCCATTATTCATGGGCGACTCGCAATAGAAATTAATGATGACAATGGGGCCTTAGGGGGTTGGATGGAGGGAGGGAGAAGAGGACTGGAGGGAGGCAAAACATAAATGGGGAAGGCACCAGCTTGATACCCTCTGGCTTAATTAGAGCGGAGCTGTCCCGAAATCTCTGCAAAAAACAGACGCAGGGAGCCAGCGTCCAAGAGTTTCTTTCACTGTGGGTGTCAATCAGGACAGACGGGAGAGTCCATAGAGTTTAGAAAAATGGCCTGTATACTCGCTTAATCACTTTTTCTGTTTGGGACAAGAAAAAAAAAGAGAGAGAGAAAGGGAATCAAAAAAAACAATAACACACACTGCCCACGCTTAAAGCTGCTGGACTCGCCTGGCGACAGAGAGAGTAGACAGAAAACAAGAGCTTGTTTGTTTGCTAGCAGCGGTCCACTGAGTGAGGAGGCACCTCGCATCCATCTCCATGCCAACCGGCCGGGCCAGATTCCATCTGGTTAAAGCGCACACACACACACACACACACACACACTCACACTCACAACTGTCGACTCCACACGCAACCTGTCACACAAACTAGTCATCTCTTCATCTCCGCCATCCTCGCCTGCGTCCTCTCCTGCATCTCTCAATCTTTGGTGTTGTTCCAGAAGGCTGCAGGAAGGAGGAGATCCGGCACAGCTGAGAGTTAGAGCACACAAGAGGAGGAACGAGGGAGGGAGGACGAGTGGAGATCTTTTTCTCCCTCTGAGAGAAGCACAGATGTGGCCTCTGAGCAGATCCCTTCCTTCCTCTCCTCCTGTTCTTCAAATCTCTCTCCGTCTCGTCTGTTGTTGCTTTCTTTGCCCTCTCTTATGTGTCAGTATGCTCACATGCTCCGACTCCTCCCCCGTTCTTTCATCACACGCTCTCACTCTCTCTCTACCGCTCTCTCTCTCTGCGGAGGCGGCCAATCAGGCGCAAGCAGAAGACAGAGACTTTGCTCGCAATGAATGGAGGGAGGACGAGTGCTCCGCCTCCCCCCACTCCCTCACTCCTCTGCACTAGAGCGTCTGCCGCCACAGCCTCGCTCTAATCAAAACAAGACACACACACACACACACACACACACATACAGAGCACTCTGTGGTTCATGTTTTATTATTGTGTACGGATGAATTAATCATGTGTGCACTGATCAGAGGCTTTAGATGATTACTTATTCAACACGATGAATTCAAACGCAGGCAGGTCTCTTCTTATTCAACAGTCACTGGCTCCATCCTCTCAAATGGCCAAAAGTATGTGGACATTACAGCTATATGTGACAGAACATGTCATCCTAAAACAATGTTCATTCAGCCTCCACTCTTCTGGTTTCAGGTGTTCCACCACATGTTGAACCTGCTGCAGTGAGGTCCAGCACTGATGTTGGGTGATCTGGTCTCGCAGTCGGCTTTTAAGTTCACCCCAAATGGTACAGAGGCACTGCCGCCGATCCGTTAGATCCTTATTATTTTCTATGGAGAGCAGGGAATCGGCTGCACGGTGCATGGTGAATACGCCACGCCAAGCTGACCTTTCGTCATATCTGAATTTGCATAAAGTAACAACTTCAATGTTATGCTAATTATGTCCATCCAGCGCTTCGCTCACAAAGCTCGAATCAAACTGTAAAACTAGCCAGTGCTCATCAAATATGAATCCAGATTCTGTTACTGCGTTGACTATTTCTTGCATCAAATGTTATGATACACATTTTAATGTAATGCCATAATATGTAAAGGTTTATGGGCCGCACGCCATGTTGTAAGCGGCAGATCGAACACCAAGCACCTCGCTGGATTCTGTGTCACTGCACCAAAAGGCATTGGTAAAGTCAAGTTCTTCCACAGCAAACTGGAGCTGGCTTTGTGCCTGGGAGGCATTGTGATGTTGAAACAGGAAACAGACAAACACAAAGTTGGAAGAACACTAAAAATATCCCTGTATGCTGCTAAGCAGGCCAAAACTAAGAAAAACAGAGCCAGACCAACAGTACGCCGAAGTGCACAGGGGTGTCCATATACTTTTGGCCACATAAAATATGCCACACCTCAGTGGTTCTTTGAATGATTCACAAAGCATCGTAAAGTCAGTGTCTCTGCATGTTGGACAAAAGAAGCAATTGTTCCAACTGAAATTAGATGATAAATAAGGAAAGTAAGTTAGTTGCAGGACTTATTTGTTCTGTTTTGGAGTTGAACGTTATCTGCATAAAGACAGGAAGATAGATAATGTATAACAGCCTATGCTGAAAATCCAGGACACTATTTTTAACTGGTGAGCCTCCTCTGCAAGAAACAGACAGAGACGAGTAGAGAATGAGGACAGATAAACAGATACAAAGGGAAATGGAGGCAGAGGATTTCGAGGTAGAAAGGGAAAGAGAAGGCAGAGTGGCTGGTGTCCTCCTACGCTCCGCAGAGAGCGATGTGCTGATGACTCACAAAGAGATGAGAGATTGTTAATGAGGAGGGATGGGTGGGTAGAATAACTAAGAAGCAAACAGCACTACTCCTCTATCAGCTGCAGGGGAGAAGGAGCTGGTCTGTGTCTGTCTGCTGGTGCATGACTGCATATACTGCGACAGTATGTCTGCGGACGGGTCAGTCGGTTCGGATTCGGACCGCTCTGTCTTTGTGAGGAGAAACCAGACCCTGAGTAATGTTGGTGAAACAGCGCGAGGCCCCTCCCCTCTCTGTCGGGCCCCCGGCTCCTGGTCAGAGCCTCTGTGTTAATGAGAGCAAAGGCCAAAGGGGCCACACAGAGGAATGTTCACACAGCCACAATGAGACCGACTGACACCGGCTTACTGACTGACTGGTTTTTGACCGTCTGGTCCTACAAACACACAGAGGCCCCAATAAGTAGCTGGTTCATTGGCTCCGACATACCTGTCGCATATCGGTCATATCTGCATTTACTCAGTGTGTGAGGACATTTATTCAAGTACTGGGAATGAAACACACCCACTAAAAGACAGACAATTCTTAACCTCGCTAGGCAGCTGGGATCACATGAGAATCCATCAGGCTTCTAGCTACGCACTCGTGTCAGACCACACTGGCTTGGACGATTCAGCGGCATCTGAGGAACTAATGGCGTGAGTGCTAACCAAGACTTTTCTTGATGGCAAAAGATGCTCACAAACGTTATTTAATTCCCAGCAGCGGATTAAACTTGGAGTATTTGGGGCAGCAGGACGGGGTATGTGAGACCAAGTCAAAACACAATAAGATATTTCAGGCTTTGGATAAACTAGGGCTGCACCAGTCTCAGAATTGAACACGCTTAACTCCTATTAGCAGTTTGTGTGGTGGAATCACGCCTATATGGGTCACATGTTTTAGCCTACCTCAAGGTTTAAAGTCTTTTTTCATCACCTACGATGCGAAAACACAAGATTCCCAGAGTCAGAGAAAGTAAAGGTGTGCGTCCTGCTCATAGTTCAGTTATAAAATGCACACACGCCACACAAGCTTCTCTTAACGCAGCTAAAAAGCAAAAGTGCAAAGATTCGACAGACAAAATGCAACTTGACTTTCCTGACTGATGACTCGAATCATTGAGTTTTTGTGGGCTGCAACAGGATAGACACACAATACTTCTTAGTAGGATACATTTATTGTTAGTTTTGGAGAGGAGAAATATAGAAAACCACTAGTACTATTCTTTAAAAACGCTTTACAGAAACAACTTCTCATAAGGGGAAAATCTGCCATCCCTGAAAAATCTGAGCAATGAGACAATCACATCGTCGGTGTACGCTCTTTTCACCGCTTTAAAAACCCTCCCGAGCTCTCTTTAATGTAAGTATATTTTTAACTACACTAAAACTAAAACTAAAAACACTTTTACCAGCTGATGAATACAGGCCTTGAGCTTAACCGTTGCTATATACAGTACTTTGCATAAAGGAACCGCTGGATTATGTTACTTTTATCTTAAGCAACAGAAAGAGACACCGTGAAAGATAACACGCTCAGAAACCTGAGAAAGAAGGAAGAAAGAATGATGTGAACGAGAGAGAGAGAGACAGAGAGAGAGAGAGATAAGAGAAGAAGCCTTGTTTTCTTCTTTTGCTTCACACACAACTAATTAAACCAAAAGCCCGTTCCGGCTCTGTTTTATGTCTCTGCCGTATTGGAGGTTAATTGAAGCGGTGGCCCCGGCCGTCGCTGTCAATGACGAACTGCCAAGAACAGCATTTTCTCTCTCTTATTCCGAGTCTCATAAAAAAGAAATAAGAAACAATAACTCTGGTTTCTTTGACCTCGCACCCTGCCTGTTTGACCAGACAAACACTCAGCACTCAGATAGTGGCAGGTCTGTTTTTAGCTGACGGCGTCAGACTTGTTGAGCCCTGTCAAAACCAGAGACCCAGTTACCTGACCTTCTGCAAGTCTTTACAAGAGACTACAGACACAGTGGAGCAAGAAAACTCAGTCAATCTGCTACCAGCTAAAATCGGAATATTTTCCCTTCCTTGATAGATTTTTGTGGTGTATTACTGTTTAACAGCTTCAACAGCTGCAGGAGCCTGTAAGGCCTTTCAATAATGGCACCAACACAACGCATGAAACCAAAAGCACAAAGAAAGGCTGCACAATTAATCTGATAATGAAAAAATGCTGATTTCCTGATGTTACAGCTTCGTATTAAAAGCATTTAACTGGCGGGTTGACTTTAGTTTTGAAGTAAGATAATCACAGGAAGTGCAAAGTGTTTGTCAGTTAGCTCGACACTGGCCGCCACCGTTCAACAAAAATGCATCCACGAAACAAGACAATGTTCATTTTTGACACATTTTTTGACAATTGATCAGTCTGAAATATGTCAGGAAGTATTGGAAGAAGAAGGAAGAGCCACAGTGAGCTGCTACATGAAGAACTACAACTGAGTATTTATCAAAATAATCGTGATCATCATTTTGGCCACAAGTGTGCAGCCCTACTGCAAAGACACTACAGTAAAATTATTACTTGTTAGCAAACTAACAACCAAAATCTGACAGTAGGTGAACAGGTGGACACACACTTGCCCCTCGGACATGTTTGGGTAAAGACATCCCATAAGACGGAGTGATTTATCGTGGCGTTTACTGAACGTTTGCAAAGTCAAATGGTTGTGAGGTGTTTTGCATACACTTAGAGTCATTGGAGAGTCTGGACACGTTTACACCGCCATGTTATTGTGTCACATTCCAGAGTATCATTCAGTCGAACGCCACGATATGGAAACATGTGACCTCTGACCGGCAGAGGCCGAAGATAGAAGCTAAAGCCTTTGACACACACGAGACAACCATGTACTGTTTGATCGTGTACGCCTGTATCACTGCACAATATGGATGAAATGTGATATGAGCTCGTTCAATACTGTGAGGTCACTTTCAGAGACAATTAAAGATTAAAAGGTAGAATTCCGCACTATAAACACACTTTAACTACACACTACAAAACCCTAATGTTATGGTCCGCTGACAAAAATGTGCCAAGATTAAAACTTTTATGAAGCTGCAGGTTAGCATTTGGTGGCTAACTAAATCATACCTACAGCTGCTTCACAGTACAGGATTTAAAAAGGTTTGTGTCTTTAACTTGCAGCTTCATAAAAATAAAAGTTACTTGTATTTTTGCACTTTTCTTGGAGACACTGCAAAGAGAACTGAACTTTTGCTTTTAATAATTTAATTAATTAATTATATTTATGATATATATCTGACAGACAGGGTTGGGAGGATTATTTCAATACCACATATGCAAATAAAGACAACAGAAATAAATTGAAATATGATAACGTGTATTTTATAAGA